CGTAGTTTGTTATATTGCTATTTTAAACATTTAATAGATTAGAAGATCCATAAATCTGAAAAAAATACAAAAGAATCCACGCGGTCAACGTTTACAGGACTCGAACCTGCACCTTCCGCTTGCAAAAGCCTGGACTGAATAATTTTAATTGTATTACTATTATCTTTGAATCTATTTATTTGGTTAGCGCGTTCGGTTGCGATCGTTGAATTTAAGCAACTTTCGCAGTGGTCGGTCATTGGATGGGTGACCAAAAATTTATTATCAAGAGCTCCTCCGTGCTTCGGAAAGCACGCTAAGACGTTTGCTGCATAGTTAGTACCCACCAATCCGCACTGGCCCCGCGTGGTGAGTCACGGCTAGGGTTACCAGGCCTAAAAATGCAAAATCCTGTTTGACATGTCTGAAAATCCTGATTTTGAAAAAAATGTACGGTCTGTATTCATTAAAAACCATAGTATTTAAGTACGTTTTTATTTACTTATATATTTTAGACCTATATTTTTGGTTGCTAGCAACCGCATGCAAAAAGTTGTTTTTTACCGCTATTTCGCAATTAAATTGTGCACACTTCACGTGTTAATAGTATATTGCCTGCGGCACCCGTCGCTTGAGCGGGACACCGGTTTTTTTGTACTGACGTAAAATCCGGGCGGAGTTCGGTCTAACACGTAAAAATACGGTCTAGACCGGCTTTATCCGGTCAGATGGTAACTCAGTCACGGCCCAATCTCCCTATTCCATTCTAAGGGAAGGCCTGTGCCGCAGCAGTGGGGACATTAACAGGCTGATGATGATGATGAAAAAATTTTTATACATAAATATACTCTCTTAACATAGGCTCACCTTAATTATGCAACTGTATATTGCCCGCAAGAACGCGGTCGGCGCGGTAGAGTTTCCTCTAAGATTTTACAAGAATACATTTTTTATTAAAACACTTAACTAGTTGGTACTCAATTTAAATCTAAACCAGAATCCAGTATGTTGTGTAAAATAACCGTGTTGCGTGTCAACAATTTTGTTATATCACGTCCGATGATAATTAGAAAATTGATGTTTACAAAATGTGATGTCACCGCGTGGTCACCGCCATGACAGCGGTGTCGAGGCGCGCAAATTACTATGTCATTGCGGTGTCACTATGTCAATTTTTTTTAAATGGGTTAGAGTCTGTGCGGAAAGAGAATGGGCGTTGCGAAAAAAGGGAATTAACATTAAGATTTTTACTTGGCAATCAAACCCAAAAAATCTGTAAAACGTCAAAGTTTTGTATTGATACGGATTTGTTTGCTGTTGTGATTTCTTGCGGTTTTTTGTATTTAATCATGTCTAAAAGGGGTAAAACCTTACAAATACGGTAGAAAAGCACTACAGCGCCCTCCAATCTAAATCCCATTCTCTTTCCGCTCAGAATCTAACCATATTATCTCTTATCTATTAGACAAGTCCGTCCGTCCGTCTGTGGTGCTGTTTCAGTGGCCAAACCGTAAGAGATAGATAAAGACAATATTTAAGTTATAAGTTAAGAATAGTCTGATAAGTCTACAAACCGGATTTGAGTAACATAGCACTTCCGGTTTTCGAGAAATCACGAATTTCAAACGAAACCACACAAAATCTCCGAAGTTCTCAATTAATTAAATACATTATTATTATTTTTTTAATTCAGGTTTTGGTGAACATTTGGTTCACTGGTTTGCTAGTTTATAGTAAACTGTTTATCCTTTGTTATCAACAGATTAACACGAGATAAGTTTTGAAATTCAATAAAAAAAATCATACCGATTTTTCTAATTTCTGGCTGCAATTTTCACACTCAGTTAATTGATTGCTGCTCTTAAGACAGCCAAATATTTTAAAATATCCTACCGAGGTTGGTAAAGTAAAAAGATTTTGACTGACGTTAAATTTACGGAACTCTTCGTATCCGAGTGTGACTTTTTTGCTCACTCTACCTATTTGATTTGAATTGACAGCTATGACATCACAATATGGCGCCCAGTCGGTCCTATTCTTAGTTGAATCGCATTATATGCAATAGTATGCCCTAAGGGTATTGCAGCCGCTCTCTTGGCCCCAGGGTCAATATGCCCCTATAGACGGCTGCGCTGATACCTACATAGATAAAATCTTTGTGAGCGAAAAATGCGAGTGTGACTTTCATTAGAAAAGATTTAATATATCCTGCAAACCAAGTGATCAAACCCCGACCATATCGGGGTCACCAGTGTAGGAAGGCCAAAGGGGAAGATCTTCCTCCGAGCTAGGTGATGTTAGCTCGGGGGCCGCGGACCGACTGATATTGGTCGGGCATCGGGGCATATATGGAGTGTTAGGCTCCGAATTTCTCTTGCGCGTTGTAGGCTTCCATACATTGTGAACGCAGCGCCGGTAGCGCCATCTCTTAAGGAGGCGAGTGACTATTTCCTCTATGTTATAGTATATGTGGGGCATGTAGATGTCGCCGCCATACGTTTATCATCAGCCTATTAAGTCCCCACTGCTGGAGCACATGCCTTCCCTATGGATGGAATAGGGATATTGGGCCATGACCCACCACGCGGGCCCAGTGCCGATTGGCGGGTGCTAACGACTGTAGATGCAGCCGGGACCAACGGTTTAACGTGCCTTCCGAAGCACGGAGGAACTCGAGATAGATGATTTTTGGTCACCCATCCAATGACCGACCACTGCGAAAGTTGCTTAACTTCAACGATCGCAGCCGAACGCGCTAACCACCCGCGCCATCGAGCTCCTCGATCATACGTTAAGTCTCTAATAATTGGGTTAGGTTCATATTTTTCAGAAGGATTATTTCTATATTAATAATATCAACGTCCTAGCGTCCTAATATCCGATTTATTTGAGTGCATTGTGTTTATTATTAAAGTATTCTTTGTGCTTTGTATTTCTTATTTTATGTTAAGCACCCAGACATTGCTATTCTCAGATTCTTCGTGGTATACTGGTAGATCTCAGATTACAGATAGTTCTGTAATATGAGTATGATATATGTCATTATCACACCACACAGACTATTCGGTATTAGAACCAAATAGAGAATATATAGTTCGCCATTTGCTGTATTGCAATAAACTTTATATACTTAAAGAAATATTTCTGGTAATAAATTAATCGAATTTATGACTGTTTCAACTTTTTTGATGTATTTTTTTTAACTGCACTTTACCTACAAATACACGCATTTATTGCTTGGTAACAGCGTTTCTCTACTGTCCTACGAGAAAGCTGCTAAACAACTGTGTTGGCTGGCTCATAAAGTTACAGGTCCAAAGTTTATAATAAGCGAGATCGGTAAGCGCTTTCATAACATACAATTTCACTATCGAACTTGGTACCCATCCATCCATCTCTTTTACTTGCAGACTATTGATTATGTAAGAATAAACTCACTTTTCATCACGGAGACCACGGTGCGATTTATAATTAAAACAATATACTTTTCGTATATAAATTACAAATCACACCGGGGAATTCCGTAGTGAAAAGTGAGTTTATCCTTACAGAATAGCAAAGCAGACTTAGATTATAGAACAATCTGTAATCTGAGACAGCATATCTTTATATATATAATTCTTCTGTGAGTGTGTATGTCACTGAACACTGTCACTGTGTGTTCAAGGGGATCTGAGAATGGTTTAGATTCACAATTTTGTCCGCTGGACAACCCCTATTTTTTTAGGGCGGTACGAAGTTCGCTGGGTCAGCTAGTATGTGTTATTTTTCCAGTGCAGATAGTGAAAGCATTTTAAAGGACGTGTATATTCAAAACCTTAAGGAGAGCCGCGGGTCTGTCCTGGGGGGGAGGCGCATTGCACAAGCTCTCTGGATGTTGATCCCTCTAATGCTCCCGGGCATCCTCATCGGGGTGGGTCCGTTCGCGGACAAACACCTGGCGGGTGCGGACATTCGGAAACGGGAGCAGTGACCACACCCGCCCTCTAGGCACGCACTAGAGGGACCGCGGTCCTCATAGTGCATTTCCGGTGACTGTGCAGAGTATTGTCTGGTTTTTAGTGGCCCTGTTCAGGACGTAGGTAGGGCCCTGTTCACATCAGCTAGCCTCAGGGCTGACTGTAGTGGGCAGGGAGGAGTCCCACATACCTTCTTCTCGCTCCCCCAGTGGTTGAAGGATGCGTAAGGCATTTCCCAGACACAAAAAAAGGGTTCCTTAAGGGTACCACGATTAACTATTGTTGTGAGACAGTGATATCATAGTGATATTTGTAAAAATATGTGTGAAGTGGCGCTACCTTGCAAGATATATGTAGGTACTAGAACTAAATGATTCGATACGTCCAAAGGTTTCGGTAGCATTGGTTTGTATCTGGTCCAAGTTATCCAGAGTTTCATTGTTCGTTTGAGAAGCTCGATTAAGCAAGTGGTTAGTACGTTCAATCTGCGATCGTGTAAATTAAGCTACATTCGTAATGGCCGTTCATTGCATGGGTGGCTACAAATTTATTATCTAGACCTTCTCCGTACTTCGGAAGGCACCTGCAGTCATTAGCACCTATCTATTCAAACTGGACTCGCGTAATGGGTCATTATCCAATCGTCTTATTCCATTCATAGGGAAGGCCTGTGCTTTAGTAGTGGGGACATTAATATGCTGATGATAATGATGAGAGGAGCTCGGTGGCGCAAGTGGTTAGCGCGGTCGGTTGCGATCGTTGAACTTAAGCATCTTTCGCAGTGTTCGGTCATGGGTGGGTGACCAAAAATTTACAATCTCGAGCTCGAGCTTCAAAAGGCACGTTAAGCCGTTGGTCCCGGCTGCATCTGCAGTCGTTAGCACCCACCAATCCGCACTGGGAACGCGTGGTGGGTCATGGCCCAATCTCCCTATTCCATCCATAGGGAAGGCCTGTGCCCCAGCAGTGGGGACATTAATAGGCGATGATGATGATGATGATGATGATGATGATAATGATCCCGAATGTTTTTATCAAATATCATTTATTATTCTATTCCAGTTGGAGCCTGGTTCCAAGAAAGAGGTGCTGGGATTGGCGGTGGGGGCGCACCCTCTAGGCCAGTTACTATGCTCCCCACTGTTGGGCTTGTGGGCCAACCGCGCCGGCAGCGCGCGGGCCCCACTCCTGGCCTCTCTAGGCCTTTCAGTGGTAGCCAGCACGTTGTACGCCCAGCTGCACCTCACAAGACCCCACGCCACCTATTGGATGGTGTTCGCCAGGTTTCTCGTAGGAGTTAGCTCGGGTAAGATTCTATACTATGCTTTCATAACTATTGACAGAGCTATGGATGCACACCCGCTAGTCAAGCTGCTGTTCTTCTACTGCTGACCTTGCGCGGGCTACAGTCCTAGCCCCTTTGGACTTGTCAGTAATAGCAATACCTTCTACGCCCAGCTACACCTCACAAGACTAAATGCCACCTACTGGATGGTGTTCGCCAGGTTTCTCGTCGGAGTAAGCTCTGGTAAGATACTATTCTATGCTTTCATAACTATTGACAGAGCTATGGATGCGCACCCGCTGGTCAAGCTGCTGTGCTTCTACTGCTAAGCTTGCGCGGACTACAGTCCTAGCCCCTTTGGGCTTCTCAGTGATAGCAATACCTTCTATGTCCAGCTACACCCCAAAAGACTACACGCTACCTACTCGATGGTGTTCGCCAAGTTTCTCGTCGGAGTAAGCTCTGGTAAGATACTATTCTATGCTTTCGTAACTATTGACAGAGCTATGGATGCGCATCCGTTAGTCAAGCTGCTGTTCTTCTACTGCTGAGCTTGCGCGGGCTACAGTCCTAGCCCCTTTGGACTTGTCAGTAATAGCAATACCTTCTACGCCCAACTACACCTCATAAGAACCCACGCCACCTACTGGATGGTGTTCGCCAGGTTTCTCGTCGGAGGTAGCTCGGGTAAGATTCTATACTATGCTTTCATAACTATTGACAGAGCTATGTATGCGTACCCGCTGGTCAAGCTGCTGTTCTTCTACTGCTGAGCTTGCGCGGGCTACAGTCCTAGCCCCTTTGGGCTTGTCAGTGATAGCAATACCTTCTACGCCCAGCTACACCTCACAAGACTAAATGCCACCTACTGGATGGTGTTCGGCAGATTCCTCGTCGGAGTTGGCTCTGGCAAGATCCTATACTCTATGCTTTCATAACTATGGATGCGCAACCGCTAGTCAAGCTTCTGTGCACACTCCTAGCTTCTTTGGGCTTGTCTGTGAAAGCAGTACCTTGTCCGCCCAGTCAAACCTTATAAGACCACACGCCACCAACTGGATATAGTTCGCCAGGTGTGTCTTTGGTAAGGTGCTATACTGTGCTTTCATAACCATTGACAGGGCAGTTGGTGCACACAACAAACAAAACCGCAAACGATACGGCAGCTTGTCAGTTCAAAATTCGCACCCGCCACACGCAGATCTATTTCACTATCGCAATGTGTCCTACATTGTATATTGACCCATGAACTTGAGGAAATTGACGCACAATGCCGCGCCCGTGCCGGTCGCCGTCGGCCGGTCGCTAGGTGCGTTCAGACTACGCTATATATTTTGTATAGCACGTATAGCAAGTTCATACAATCTAGTATCGAGCTGCTCGATGGCGCAAGTTGGTTAGCGTGTTCGGGCTGCGATCGATGAAGTTGAGCATCTTTCGCAGTGGTCTGTCATTGGATGGGTGACCAAAGTTTTCTTATTTCGAGCTCCTCCGTTACATGCATGTATTGCGTTAGCACCCACCAATAAGCACTGGGCCTTCGTGGTCATATTTATAGACGACGGCGCCTTAAAGAGGCACACCGCCGAACGGACCTACACCTGGCTCCCGCAAGCCTTACGGGCCCCCACAGTGGCTGCCCACTGAGGACCTCGTAACTCTTACGGACGCTTTACGGCATAATATCCGCTTAAAAACCCTGCGAATATCCTCTCAGCTGCTAAGTGCGAAACCGTGGGATCCCCGTTTAGGGATTCTGCCGCGTATCCTGAAGGAAAGCCTGTGCCCCAGCAGTGGAGACATCATAGGTTGATGATTATAATGATGACAATCTAGTACTTATAGCGTGGATTGTCAAATTACTATGCAGTTTGACAGTTCGACGCTTTGAAAAACGTGATATAATGTAAATTGTGGTGTTTATGCTACGGGGGCTATTCTTTGTTGACGACCTCCGTGGCCAGTGGTTTGTACGCCGGGTTTCATGGTGTCGCCGACTCGAGAGGCCCCGGGTTCGAATCTCGGCGGGGGCAGATGTTTGTGTCATGAATTCGAGCATTTGTACTCCAGTCATGGTTGTTTGATATGTATTTCTATATTAATAGTAGCGGCCCGCCCTCGCTTCGCTTCGGTGTAGAGCTGAAGTGTGGACTACAGTTTTTGTTCTCAGGCTTGTATTATACACAATGACATTCATCTATGATTCTTCTTATACCTCCATGCAAAGTCTCAGCCCGATCGGTTTAAAATTGACAAAGTTTCATACAAACTTTCACTCTCTATTTTATCGCCTTGGGGGTAGAATTGATCAAAATCCTTTCTTAGCAGCTGCCTACGTCATAACATCTACCTGCATGCCAAATTTCAGCCCGATCCGTCCAGTGGTTTGGGCTGTGCGTTGATAGATCACTATGTCAGTCAGTCACCTTTGAGTTTTATATATAAAGACGTAGAGTATATGTATTCTATCCGTAACGGATAACGGATCCTAGTATCCCAAAACACAAGCCTTACAGTGCTTACTTCGGGGCTAGGCTTATTGGTGTGAGTGTTGGAAATTTATTATTTATTTATGTTAATTGTGATGCTATGAGCTATAATCTTAAAGTATAGCATAGTGTGAACGCTCCTTCACCAAGTGTGGTGCGACTAGGGATGCAACATCGTACTGAAATACATCGATATTTTAAAACATCGATGTTTGCATGAAAAACATCGATGTTCAAAAATATCGTTGATAAGAGCGAAATACCCATGTTTTTGCCGATGTTTTTTTATTTTTAATAGGATGCTTCATTGAAACAACAATACCGCTCTATTCGGTATAAGTACGCTCGATGCTTAAAGGTTAATAAAAATAAGAATTACAAGATGGTAAATTAAATTATAACAAAATCATTCTCATCATTCAATTAGGCAAATAAACAAATTAATATGAACTGTCAGTTCACAAGCTGCTTTAATCAACAAGCTATTCGTTTTGTCATTTTTTAACCTAAAAATTATACGCTCTATTTTCACGTACCCGCAAACAAAAACCTAAAGCAAAACAAACCATCAAAACCTAGCTACTTTATAAATTAATTCAACGAGTACATTACTCACCCAATCAAGAAATCTAATATGTGTATAGGTATGTAGTCAAAGAATCAAATTATATTTAATCAATTTCATCTACGCTTTACGTGTCAGCACAACAATGCAATGCGAGCGAACGTCATAGTGATTCCGAAAATCCGAACAGACAAGAACGATGTCGATGTTTGTAAATGTAGTGAACGATGTATCGACGATATATCGCTCACAATTTTACAATCATCGATGTATCGTTTGCATCCCTAGGTGCGACCAGTGACTGTGGGTGTGAGTCACGGATCAATGCGTCACCAGTGATTTGCGGGCAACCAGATATCTGCTGGTGTTCAGCCAAGTATTTCTCAGCACCATTACTTTGTATCGCGTGTTATTAATACAGATGTCAATCATATAACACAATAATTATGGATAAGAAAATAATGTTATCTAAAGAAAATGTTACTAGAAAAAATTCCACGCGGACCAGGCAGCAGACGGGACTCGAACGTGCACCCTTCGCTATCCGGGCGAATGCACTGACCAAATATGCTACCGTGGCCTTGATATGTGGCCGTGGTCGTGTCAAATTCTTTATAGCCTTTCCTAAGCTGCAAGGCAGCGCCATCTCTTCGCATTGTAGGTAAACATCGAGCAGTTACATGCTTAAAAAATAAAATATACTCAAATAATGTTATATTTTTTTCAATGCCCATGCCAGGGTTTGAAACCGGTTTCAAAAATACCGGTAAATAAAGGTTAATACCGGTTTTTAGTAAATGTTTCGTTCGGAGCGCGTCCGAAATAAAAGCGGTACCTAAAACCTTAATAAACCGGTTTAATCCAGAGTGACACGTGCACGCGTCGGCATCGCTTGAAGTTTGTTCTGTTTGAACTAATTACTTGTTAATGCTCAGAGATTGATGCATTTATTGACATGTTTACTAGCGTCTAGTGAGTCAAGTTATTCATTTTGTAGTTGTGTATTTATTTCAGCCGTCAGTAAGAGCGAAATGAAACCCTTTAAAAACCGCTAAATTGATTAAAAAACCTATTTGATTTCGCTTTTTAGGAAAACCGGGTTTTTTTAAGGTTAAGTTAGAGCCAAACCTAAATAAAATGCTCCTAATGTACTTGACTAACCGGTAAACAAGCCCTGGCCCATGCCACATCTAGGCAGTAAGAAATTCCATAGTCTGTAATGTACACTATGCCCCCACAGGACAGACTTGGACTAGTGTGGGGTTCAGGAAATTCAATATTTGATATGCCATGTAATATATGTACTTTGGAAATAAATTATTATATACTAGCTAACCAGTGAACCAAATGTTCACCAAAACCTGATTTAAAAAAAAATGTATTTAATTAATTGAGAACTTCGGAGATTTTGTGTGGTTTCGTTTGAAATTCGTGATTTCTCGAAAACCGGAAGTGCTACGTGACTCAAATCCGGTTTGTAGTCTTATCAAACTATTCTTAACTTATAACTTAAATATTCTCTTTATCTATCTCTTACGGTTTGGCCGCTGAAACAGCACCACAGACAGACGGACGGACGGACTTGTCTAATAGATAAGAGATATGTACATATATATATATAAATTACGCGTCACGTTGTTTGTCCGGGATGGACTCTTAAACTACTTAACCGATTATAATCAAAGGAGATTGCTCAAATTGGCCCAAATGTACAAAAAATGTTGACATATACGGTAATTTTTAGCGTAATTTATACTTTATTTTACAGTCATTAGATTTTAACAAACAGTTATTTTACAAAGGTGTCCCTTTGTATAATATATTCATTTTAAAAAGGACATACGAATCATTTTTAATGGCTATGGGTGTAGTTACATTAACATCAACACAAATCTTTTTTTCTAAAGATCGATAAAATAAATCATTTTTTGAATAGATGGTAAGCGACATCATAAAGTCGATTGCCA